GACGTATCCGATTCGGTGACATGGATTTGTTAATAATTTTAATCATTTTTTAATTAAAAATAATCTCAATTAAGAAAAACTAATCAAGGGATTTATCGTAATTTACTAGAGGTGTAAAAAGATTTGAGTAATTTTTGAAAGAAGTATTGTATTCTAGTAATATAAGCATTGTTCCATGGGAGTTGAGTAATTTCTTCAACAATCAATCATTTGCTCTTTTGTTATCTTTATACATGTTTGGTGTGCGTAGTATCATATGTACACCAAGTCACCAACTATAAGAGAAATAGTCCAGTTTTTCTACACTAACCTCTGCAGAGTGATGACTATTCCAAAGAATCATCCCAAAAGAGAAGAGGCCTCCTAGGTATAGCATTGATTCAGTGGAGACTATGGAAGAGTAGATACGAATTCTTATTCAATGACATGGACTACTATGCACAAGAAACACTAAAGAAAGCTAGGGAGATGCGTATGAATATGGGCTAAAAGAGTAGGGGCAAAAGATAATGATGCTAAAGTAACTTTTGCCACTCCAAACCCTCCTAAATGGATTCCACCTCCACAAAATTGGTTAAAGTATGAAATTTATGATTAACACCCAAGAAAACTCTAAGAATCTCTCGTACTGTAGCAACACCCAAAAAGCGATTCCTCGCCACCGTTGACGAAGCCACACGCTCGTCTACGAGAACTCTCAACCCCCTTTCTTCTTTGTTATCATGGAGTCCTCCTCTGTGGGGGTTACTCCTTCTCATCATGTTCCTCCATATCTGCTTTTTCTCAGCTTATATCCAATATTGGCTTCTTCTACAAACCCAGATCTGGTTTGGGTTCTTCCTCAGGCGGTGGTTACTAATGCCGATTTACCTTCTGTTTCCCCTCCTGCGATGCATAAGGTTTCTCCGGCTGGGTTTGTAGCCCTGTTTCCGTGGATCTCAAAGTTCAAATCTACCTTTCATAATCTCTCTAAAGTGGCGTCGCCTTCTTTTTCTGATGATGGTACTCCAACTATTCGGGCTCCAGCCTCAATTACCCTTGGTTCTTCTCAAATCTGGAAGGATCACTTGGTGGCTTATTTTCATGGAATTCCTCTTTCTTCGGCAAAGATTTTTTCTGACCTTAATCCCATATGGGGAAAGCAAGGTTGAATCTCTATCAAGCATCAATCCAAAAGAATTTGTCTTATTTACATTCCTTGTGCAGTCACAAGACAATGGGTGCTTGATGTTAGTTTTTGGAATTCTGGAAATTGTTCTTTCACTGTTTCTCCTTGGTCTCCATCTGCCGATCTCACTTCTATGAAGCTAGTTTACGCTCCAATCTGGGTTTTGTTCAAGAAGGTTCCTCCTGAACTTTGGTCGTTAGTTGGCTTTAGTACCATCGCTTCTAGAGTTGGAATTCCGGTTCATTCTAAATTTTCAAAGCTGTGTCCTTATTCTAATGGTGTGGTTAAGCTAAAGGTTGTTGTGGAGCTTGAGAAGAAACATCATGGATCCGTCATTCTCACTGACAATGTGGCGAACTCAGTTCTGGTTTCTGCTGAGTATCCTAAGCTTCCTCCTCGTTGTGGTTCGTGTAAGGAATTTGGTCACTTGGACCTTCGTTGCCCATCTCCAGCTTCCCGTGTTAATTCCCCTGTTGAAGATGTGGTGGGAGAAAATTCCAGGCTCCTACGGTTTTGGATTCTGTTTCCCATGTACCAGTTTCTCCTGCTCTTAATCGTGCTAATAGTCTTCCGTCTATCATTGATGAAAGTGAAGTGAGTAGTTCTAGTGGGTGGCTTCGTGTTGTAAATCGCTCTAAGCCTCGAATTCATTCACCTTCTGGGCCAGGTTCCACGAATAACCATCTGGTTACTACTGCTGAGTTTGATGCAGAAGAGAACCTTATTAAAGCTGCACAGGTTATTATGCGACAAAGAGTTGCAGCATTGGAAGTACAGCCTCCTCCCTTTGTGTCCGCTGCTGTAAGGAAGAAAGAAAGGTGGAAGCAACGCCAGAAGCTTCTTCTCTTATCTGCTTCAGAGCCTGGATCAGAAAATCGTGTTGTATAGCTATTTCAGCCTTTATCCACCGGCTCTGTCTCTGTTTCTAAGGAATTGACGCATGAGCGGTCAATTCCTCTTTTAAAAGCATAAGTGAATAGCACTACCCCTTTTTGACTTCTGATGAAGTGCTTCTCCTGGAATGTATGTGGCCTTAATGGCGATGCTAGGAAGCTATCTATTAAACGGTGGATTACCACTAATCGTCCCTTTATAGGAGGACTTTTGGAAACACGAGTGAAGCAAGTGAATTTAGCAAGTATGATTAATCAGACTTTACCAGGATGGAGCTATGAAGCAAACCATTATTTGGAAGCAGGAAATGGAAGGATTGTTGTTGTTTGGGAACCTTTTCTTTCAGTGGTGGTGTATCTTAAGACTCCTCAATTGATGTTGTGTGGTGTTCTTAATCCTACAACCAACAAAGCTTTTACAGTTGCGTTTATTTATGCGAGGAATAGAAGGCTTGAGCGTTTACCTCTCTGGAATTTATTGAAGGATTTGACAGCTTCTAATATTATGCAGAATTCTCAATGGATTGTGATGGGTGACTTTAATCAAGTATTATCTCTTTCTGAAGTGTCGTCTCTTTTGCCTAGTACGGTTTGTCTACAAGGTTTGGCCGACCTTCAAGATTATTTGTCTATCTCTGGGTTATTTGATTTATCACCAAGGGGCTGGACTAACAAAAGTTCTGTCAACCCTAAAGCTCACAAGTTAGACAGAGCTCTAGTCAATGAAAAGTGGCAGGATGAATTTCCGGATTCTAATGCTTTCTTTGATGTGCCTGGAGGTTTTGATCATTCACCAATTCTTGTTACTTTGGCTAATGATCTTGGTCGGAGGAAGATCCGTTTCAACTTTTTTAATTTCTTCACCTCTCACCCAGAGTACAGCCAGTTAATGGAGCTTGCTTGGAACTGTCAGATGATTGCTTCTAATCCTATGTTCTCTTTGTATCAGAGGTTGAGGTCTGCTAAGCTATGTTGCAAGAGTTTAAATCAACGGAGTTTTAGTAATATTCAGACTCGAACTAAGTTAGCTTTTGAGAAGTTGGAAAACATTCAGAGGCAGGTTTTGCTCTATCCACCCCAGAGTTTGTTTCAAGAAGAGAGAGTGGCAAGGGATGCATAGTTTTTCTCTCATTGGCTGAATCTTTTTTCCATCAAAAATCAAGGATCCGGTGGCTATCTACTGGAGATGCTAATTCGAGGTTTTTCTTTCGATATGTTCAAGCTAATTTGTCAAGGAATTTATTTCATTTTTTGCGAAATGAGGCTGGACTAAAGGTGACAGATCCGTTGATTATGAAGGGAATGACTATTCAGTATTATACAGATCTTTTGGAGACAGCTGATGACTCAGTTAACCCTTATTTAGTTTCTCAGAT